AAGACGCAGCGTCGAGCAAAAGTTACGGATGTACCATGGTAGAACGCCGCCAAAATAGGATAACTCGAATGATTTTTATCATACGACGACGTACGTTTTTAAAGCAACATTATAAAGACAAGAGTCGAAAATGTTGTATAGCCATGTTAAGCTTCAAAGAGTAAACATTAAAATTACCTCCTCACATAAATTGTATAGATCTTACTAAATCACGATTTTTACTTGTAAATTACTTGCATGCTTAGATAATTCAATATTCTAAAGCTATATATATAATAAAATGTTTGTCTCGAGCTGTCAGGTTCGCACATAACTCTATTTGGCGCACTCAACTTTACTATCTCAACTTACGAGTCCTAATCTCAGAAGCTCAACCGTAACTGACCTGCCATGGGCCTCAACAAAGTAGTGGCTAAAATAGAAAGTCAATAGTTTATGACTCGTAACTATCTGCTAAACACAACATAAACACGATAGATAACTTCATTATGAGTAATAATTAACGGCCAAACCGAAACTCGATTGATACGAGGTATTCAAAGAATACGTCGATAGACACACAGAGTCGCATCTATCATTGAACTTTGGCCTTTATATCCGATCATCCACAATTTGTGATATCTACTTGAAAAACCGTACCACAAATCATTTCGTGATAATGCATTTAAAATTATGATGCCGTAATGCTGACCTCATATACATAGACAATTTGATTAGATGCTTTACTAATAAATATAGATAAATTATGTTTATCAAAGACATTTCTGATATCGATCATAAAAGGAGCAGAAAATCTTCAGTTAATTTATATAATTTATAGACAAACCCCTAGTCTAATAATGTAATTAGTGGATATCGTATACGTGGAGTTACTAATAATGATTCAGTCCGCTATCATCAATCTCACACACGGGTCGCACGGCTGATCCGAATGGCGTATCAAAAATAGAACTTCCCTAGCTTCCACAAGCTGCACAGATAAAATCTAAGTTTGAGTTAGGACAACCCATCATTGGTTTCATTTCGGAACTGTAAATAGCCTGCCACGTACGAACCACAGTTCTTTTTCAGTCAGAAAAGGTCAGGGAATCGAATAGGAACCGAATAATTTATAAGTGTCTCTATTTTGACCACTGTCCAATCTAGATCGTCCGGCCGTTCTATTATAATTCGAGAGTATGTTGCCTTTAAATTATATTCCCGTTTTAGCACGTCAGCAAAAACCGGTCACCAAATTGTTTAGGCGTAACCAACTACAAAGGACGCACAATGTCTTGCTTTCAAATGACTTCGATCAATGATCTATATCTTCGCCGTCATCTACGTGCAATGCATACAGGCTTACGTACTGTAGTCGACACACTTACTCAGTGATAGAAGATCCTTATCGTTATTCGTGAAGATGCGTCTAGAGCTACCATCACGTATTACGGTTTAGTATAGCCCCGACTCTCGTCGCATATGTAAGTTAAGTTATATATTATATTGCTCGCTTTGGCTAAATCGCATTTGCAGAAGGACCGATGAGAATCTAAGTTTTGTTCATCTACTCAAAATAGCAGCTGCAATCAGTGTTAACCCCATTCTACCTTGGGTTGCGGAACACTTGTAAACTGGCGTTTATATAAATAGCGTTCTGCCTTTTCTTCAGCTCGCACAGAACAGTCACTTACCGTAGCCTAAAACAGCGCTTAAAGCCGCTAAAAAAAACAACCGTAAAAAGACCGCTTTATGCCACTTTGCTTCAGCTGTATCGTCCAGCAGTGCTTGTGCCGCACTGTGCCGTAGCATCTGCGTATTTGCATCTGGCTAAACGCGTGCGTTTCTTGTGCCTCATCTTCCCGCCCCGTAGTGTTTTTTTACGATTTTTTATTTTAGTAAAATCGATACGCAACCGGACAACGGGCAACACCTTAACAATGACATTGAGATAAACGACGGCGTTCGGTCCTCGGTTTTTTGTGTCAATTGGCGGCTGTTGATACATTGATAATGCGCAAAAACGTGGGAATCACTTCACAATTCATTAAGGCGGGCTGTTCTTGCCCATGGTGTCCCACTAGGACTGGACGATTGATTTGATTAGGGTAATGCATTACACGATCAATTAACTCATTGAATTTATTTACCTATTATTAATCATCTGTCATTGATCCTAAATAAATATGTAAAGTATACAGCTTTGATAGTTCAATACGGTGCTAGTTAGTTAACGAGAAAATTCGAGCCGAGCAAGATAACGTCTAACCGATAACATAGTTGTGGATTTAAACTCTTAAATTCAGAGTTGAACTTTTGGCCTCCGAAAGCTCATCTGCGTACCGAGCCTGCGTACTGAGCCTGGTAACTTAAATAATTATGACTATTCTGAATCAGTTGCATAGCAGTCGATATTATTACTATAAGCCGAACGTACCTACGCGGAACCCACAGACCTATTTTAGAGGCCAGCACGCATCTATATTTATGCCAGCTCCGTTTCTGTTAAGGCCATTCGTTAATCTTACCATTATTGTTATTATTAAGATAATAGCGATTCCATAGAAATGTATTGAGCATTTCTAAAATGCAACCACAGATAAACTTACCTAACAACTAACAGATAAACCTAACAACTGAAGGCCTCGTCGTTGAAATGCGACGTTCTTCAATCAAGTTCGACTGGCGCGGCGAATCATTGAATATTACTATGTACAGTAGATTCCATGTCATCGTTGACACGTATCCATGCTTAGCAGACGGTAGGCTGGACTTTTGCGAAACGCTACGAGAATGAGATAGTTACATTCAACGCACGCAAAATACTGCCGTAGAAATGCCGTAGTGTTCTTTTTTCTTTCACTAATTACATTTCGACATAAATGGTGGATTGAAAATGTTTTCCCAAACAAATTTCTTGTTAACGTTGTTAATAAACAATATCCGAAAGCTTACTTTCGTACGATGGCGACCTGATCTGTATTACTCGATATTTACAAAGATAGCTTAACTAATTTCATTCGACTGTTATCTTCTCTGATGAGAATCAGAGCCCCCTTGAATCTACTGTCTATACGCGTTTCTATGGCTGTCGGCGAATCGCATTGTTGGCGGCGGCTCGTTCGTAGTATGTATGCTGATATATAAAACTAACAATGCAACAGTGCTAAACCATGCTTAAGCCCGCTGATGGACTGAGTGTTTACTAAACCTCCGATCGACAAATCGCGATCCTCAGTTTACCCACATCTTCTTGCGATAAACTATATTTGTTCGTGTACGTGTATCATCAATGCATAAAGTACGCGGTTAAAAATGATGTAGGCATACACACAAGAGTTTTGCTAATAGCAGACGGTAGATAACGCTGTTTTTTTTCGGGCTAGAAAAATGATCTCCCTTTACTCGTCTTATTATCGTCGCGTTTGAATTGTTAAAAAAACTGGGTAAAACGAAACTGGCGTTACCGTAATGCTACCGATCTATCTACTGGCCAAATGTGCACGCGAAATACACACAGAACGACGGCTCTCCTGGCGAATTGAGCCTTCCCTAAATTGAGGAAACGAAAAATTATGTATTCCTGTTTCAGCGCTTACGACCCTGTGAAGAAAACCTTCACTGCCATTGGCTTGATATCACAGGAGGCAACTTTGGATATTTAGCATCGGCCTTTCGTCAGCTAGAAGAGTCGAAAGCCCTTTTAATTAACGGATGATCACAGGATAATAGCAAATCGAAGTCGGGTAACAAAACTGATGAGTGTCTTTTTTCTTTTTTGCCGTACCGCTGATTAGTGGCTGATGGACACATGTGGATTAAACCTTCCTCCAAAACCGATGAACCAAAGCGGGCAAATGCTACAAAAATACCACAGTCAACCAGAACGCGAGAAAACTATCGTAACACGTGTTACTATTAACAGGACACGTTTCCACTCAGCAAGCATATCGCTCTCTATTGGTTCCCTTTGAGTAGGTTTTCGTGTCCATCTGAAGGCTCCCGGATCAAATATTGATTGTACTAAACTTATGTATATTTTAGCTTGATACGGATATTAGGCTCCAACGGGAAACCAGAACCATTCATGGAAACCCAGTTCTTAGAGAGAAAAGTAAAAACAACAACACCATGAATGAATCTACAGAACCTTAATAATGGATATGGCGGTTTACCACAGAAACTACTCAAGTTCTGTGAACTCCACTTGCGAAAGATTAAATACTCCGTATTTTGGATATAAGCTACTACGAGACCCGGATTGATTTTTGGCCATCGGTGTATTTCGTGTCACATGTCCGATGCACCTTTTTGTGCACTTCAAACTCATCTAGCCCATCCAGAGGACCCACTTTGCTTATTCTACTTCATCTAAAATGTCTATGAAGCTCAATAATGCACTCATGCTCTTCAAATGGCTATGTCTGGAATAGGTAAACGATGTTCCAAACATGCTGCTTGACTTCCTCGCTAGAATTATGTATGTTTCTGTGTTGCACCGCTCAACTTTTAACAACGTAAACATACACAGCGACCTGTTTACGTTAATTGTACCAAAAACGCTATTTAGCCATGAAGAACTTCTCGTCGGAGGAGTAGCTCAGACAGCTATTACTTTTAAGCATTCGTGTTTTCTATGGCAACGGTACAGGCTTTTACTCTAGTCTTTTTTCCCGATTTTACTAATGCCTTAGCCTTCTGTCTACGTTTGCCGTTCAGTGGAACTGTGGTTTCCTGCTTCTGGTTTTTGCCGACCTGAGGGCCATTACATATGTGTTATTTTTTTTTGCAAGTGCTGTTAACAGTATATAATATTAATATTTTTACAGTTATTAGTGTTTTAGGTAACCGGCTTAAAAATAGCGGTGCTGGTTCGACCCCCCACCCCCCCACATCGACATATACTACATAACAAGTGTGATGAATTAAAGAACGTTTTTTTAACATGTATATTTGATCGCGAATAGATCAAAAGTTTGCTGTTTGAATAATTTGATAATGAAAATTACACTTCTACTAACCAATGGTTTGTTTGTAGCTCTGCGAGAACACCCCTCGGCAGAACCTCTGGATGAGGGAGCTCTTTCCGACAGCCCCATTTCCGACCACGACGAGCTTCAGGGCCAGCTCGTCGGCCATGGTGGTACGACACCACTTCTGCACGGCGAGGCTGGCGGAAGGCCCAACACAACGATGACAACGGCGTACGACACTTCGCAGCAGCCTGCATTCACGCCACGCAAAGTTCACCCCTCACCCCCTAGATAAACACACAGAGATATTCGTGAAGGTACAAACACTTAAGGACACAAACAGACATACACTGACAGCCACTTAATACACCGGCTGCGCAATCGGTCCGAGGTACAGGCGTATACAACGCTCAAATACAGCGGGAAAGATGAAAAAACTACAGAGTTTTTGCTAGTCCACTGCTTATGGGATCAGCGACGGTCGCTCCTTATTTAGAGCATCAATCGCCACTTTACACTACAGATCAGGAGCGCTTTTTTAAGCCGTGTTTTTCGTTAAGAGTTAACGAAATTCGCGAGACTTAAGCGACCTCATTGAGCACATATATTGATGGTAGTCGCAAGTTGCGGCCTCACTAAACGGGTCCAGAGGTACTCCTTTGCTTTTTAGATACGCTCGACAACGATAAGGATTGACTATCATAATCATTTCACGCATACACACACATTCACAAGGGCGGTACACAACGACGAACGCTTTAGGACTACATAATCTACTCACGCATCGACTAACGTGAACCGATGTTATGTACACCTTGTAATAAGCGCACAACCGCGCCTATAAAAAAGTTTTTCTATTAGATTGTGCTGCACTGCCAGCAGATGCAGTTCTTTGCGCTATAGTAATAACAATAGCAACGAATGCCGTTGGACGTAATACAGCGGTCGTCGAACGCAGACGTTAATTCGCCGCTGATCGAAATGCCAGGAATAATGCCATGCAAGTTCGTTCTACCATCACCAACATCGGCTACATTATGATCTAGATCAGCAGCGGCCACCAGCTGCTCCACATACAATAGCAGTCTGACCAAGTAACAGATTCAACAAGTGCGGTAGCAGGTCAACGCAACGACGACTATAGGCTAACGTAATGCCAATTAGTAGTTACAAGTAATAGCAACGTTCAACAACGGTGTCGACTACGATCCGGAACCAAACGGCGCTGGTGTGATTCACTGAAGGCCCGTCAGCCTGCTTCTCTGTTTTTGGGGGCCAGCGCAGCGCCTGCAATCGTGGTCGTCGTCGTCGTCGCTGCTGCTGCTGTTACCACTTCGACGGGATTACGCCTGCTATTGCTATCGCCACTGCTGCTGCAGCCGTTACGGCGCTGCCTGGTCTTCAACGAACGAGGGCTACGATGCAGCTGTTCAGACCCTCGCCGAGCGAAAAATGAAGACCGGCAGACGAAGTCCGGTCACGGAACGAAGCTTTTGCTGAAAGAAGACCAAAGACCGTCTGCTCACTTCGGCTGCTGCTTCCTTCACCCCCGTCTCCGCCGTCTGGATTTGCCGAACCCGGTACGCATAGTGTGCTGCAGGTCTGGCTAGTTGTGCTGACGTTACTGGGGGCACGCTGTGCGTTTTACGGTGTTGTTGCGTTGAATGGCGGGATTTCGTTGAGCCAACTCGACACCGTAAAAGCATGGTTCGTCCCGGCGATGTGGTTTCGTGACGGAGACGCTCGCTAACTGGTGACACAGAAGAGCATAAAGGGCGTCAATTATACAAGATGACAGGGAGCTAGTTTGATAGTACTACTTGAAGCTCTGTAGAATAATGGATGAATGTTAACCGGAAATAAACTGGGCCGTCTATAAGTATTTGCTGAGATGATTTTACAAATTCGAAGCGAGGTTCATGCAAATAGAATTGATTTATTGCCATTGAACCTGTGTGGAAAACTGGAATTGTAGGTAGCTTGCGCACGTGTGGCGCTCGAAACAGTCAACGCGGATAAGTCACGAGTCTGTGCCTTTAATATTCATGCTAGTAATAATATATACTTTACCTTACATTCTGAACGGTACGGTACGCACCTGCCCTAAAGAACTGTACCAGCTTTCGATGACCTTTGCGACCGTGTTCTAGAAATTAGTTTTATGCTAGTTGGAGAACAGCAAAACCTGTTCTCCAATACGACCAAAGCTCTTGAGCGACGAGAAAACCCACCAGCACCCATGCAGAACTTCCAATTTGATTATTCGTTTTCCAGTCTCAATGAGATCTACTTTATAGCCAGTTTACAAGAAGCTGTTCATGGACTTATCTTAAATTTTCAAATGTTAATTTGTTAATCCTCCGAATGCAGGTACCATGAATGGGGCTTGTATTGCAAGCAAACGATAGAAAATAATTCATTCTCAGAAACCGTAGCTCTTTGCCTGTTCGCAAATTTCTTGAGAACAATTGCTGCTACTTTCTGTGTTCTCAGGTAATCTACTTTATTGCCGATTCTTTCGAATCAATGTAGCTAGCGTTTTGCTAACTGGTCTAAACGAGAAACGTAAAAACACCTACAACTTAATAGATAAACTGCACAGATTCGCTTATGTTTGACCTCATGTGTCTTCAGTTCGATTCACTGAGGTGTTCACTTCTCTTCGCCTAGCTGTTAATAAAAAAAAATTCAGATCGACTATTTGTTGTCTCCTGCATTTGGCATCAATGTACAGTACCAGATTGTTCCACTATAAGGTGGCTTAGCAACAAAGAGTGCACGGATGCCGGCCCTTGTATTAATTATCAGTACGAAATTTTATTACGAAGATTAATACGGAAAGGTATAATAAATAAAGTTATAGTTTTTGCGGAGCACATGAGTGCACTGAATGCATTACCTGCGTAGGTATTCTATACTTCGACAGCTAAATTCCCAAATAATAAATGTCTGTTTTGTTCTTCTATTTAACAATTATCCAGTAAAACATCGTCCGCACTTGTGCAGCATCCAGTGTACCAGTTTTTCATGTTCTGAGGAAAAGCCGTTTTAAACGTAAATTCAATATGGAAAATGCAGTCGAGTACGCTCGACTACACACGATCGAATCTTGAATCAATTCCAGTGAAGTAAAGTCGCTGAAGGCAATCTATTCACGTTCATCGTTGATGTGTTTAAGTATTTCTATAACGACTTCAGCTCTCTGACTGCAGTAGCACACACATTAGAGCAGCGTTACAAGCAAAAAATGTTCAGTTGCTATTGTTAAAAAACTATTATTTGTAATTTGCCGTTGTTATCACGCTACCTACTTCAACGGGCGTAGCTTTGAACTGATATTCCTTCTTATACCAGGCACTGTAAGTATCTGCAAGAACAATTTACTGATTTCCCGATAATACAGATTAGTCGAAGAAAACTGTCCGTTGGCCACAGAGGCCGCTGTTAGACAACTTAGACGTTGCGACTAAGACGGATCACGAATTAGTTAGATCATGCCGGGTCGATCTTACAAGTAGTGTATTTAATTAATTCGGGTATATAATAAACTGCAAAGGTCTGCTTACAGGACGAGGCATTCAATGGGCCTGCTACCTTTACATATAAGCGAACGTAAATTAGTTCATCTCTATAGACATCTCAATGGTCTTGAAGTCTCGAAAACAAAGGCACATACATATCGCGAAAGAACTGGTCCTTTCCCGCACGATTCAGCACCACGAAATCACCACCGACTACTGCCTTTATATGAATCCTAATTCGCAAAAAATTCAGTTAAGGGTATTCGATCGTCTCTGATGGTACACTCTTCGTCTTCAATGATTCTAGAGCGTCAGAAATTGATCTGGATTTATAGCGCAATTTCGTTAAAAAAAAAAGAGGTTCTGATAACCCCGCGTCTCCTCCGAAATTCTTGTTTAACCCTTATGACATTTTAAGCAATAATTTCACGGCTGTACCTATTTGCATTAATTTGTGCGTCGTCGTTAACAATATAAATAAAAGTGCAAGTGACATAACCAGTCTGTTGTGTCAATATACACAGCGCTCTATTAGGTAAAATTAAATAGTCATACTTGTGACACTTATTGATCTCTTTCATAAATTACGGAGTGCGTCGTATTAGCAACTTGAACTGGCCTCTAGATTGACACCACGTTACGTTTGGTTTCATTACAATTGTACATTTATTATAGCCAATTTTAAGTACAAATTCTTGTTTTGGGTCTTCCTTAATCTGTGTTTGTGCTGCTGTGATTCGTGATGTTTATTGACTACCAACTTCTTGGAAAATGTTAAGGTGACTGACCTTTCCGGGCCTTTGAATTGTTTTAAATTTTTGCTATGATATATCTGTTCCTCGGTATTTTTGTCATTTATCTGTCCCATCGACAAGGGCAAATGCTCACTAATCATTCCTCTTTTCATGTTTTGTACCACTCTGTTAAAACAATTTATAATCAAAGTATAACTTAGGTACCTTCAAAATATAAGTGAAATAATTCTATGCATTCTACAGTCGAATTACTACGTACTTATGAAGAAAATTGCTTAGATAAATTGGTCCGTTTCAAGAATAAACTGAATGGCATTAGAAAAAATAACCCGTTAATCTACCTTTCTCTATATATTGGGTAAACACTGGGCGCAAGCAAGAATTATTCGGGGCTGGTCCGCACATTATTTAGCGGCAGATACAGGCTTTCCCTCATTGGAAAACGTATGTTATTCGGTAAAATTTGCGTTGAGTATCATACATATGTGTGCACTAATTTCATGCATCCCAATAAGACACCAATCACCTATCTATAAGGCACGAAGTGCAGCAGTCTGTGCATTCTTGATGATTTGCTCCTGTCATTTTTTGAATTCTCCCGCGTTTCCGACTCCCGCCACCAGTCAACATAGATCACGGCGTGTTTAACAACAATAAACTGAGGCTGCCGGGGTTCGCCGTTGACGTGAAACCTTGGAGGAATCGTGAATGTTTACGTTTTTCGGAGTCCATTGGTGTTCTGACCGAAATTAGCAAAAAGTACAGTGAGTGTCTCGCCGGTCCGGGGCCTGGTGTGGCGGCCGCTCAACAACATCTAGCCGGATAACATTCGCCGATATGTCGGTAAGTTCAGTCCATTCTCAGCTCCATAACACGGGCTTCGACCAGGCAACCTATCGATTTCCTCTGAGCTATCGTCGTGCAATAACCGTTCTTACGGGCCAAAAAGCCGGCCAACAAACGCGTTTATTTACAATGGTCTTACAGATTTACATTACGTTTATATTATAGATATACCTAAAAATATTATATATATATACGTTCACGGTTACTCTTGTCCGTTCGGATGATGCCGTTGACAAACAGCAATGATAAAATGCTCTCTCACCAACAGCCAGCGACTATCTCACATTGATAGAAATTTATTCACTAGGAAATATAGCTTTATACTTTTGCAAAATGCAACCTTATGATGAGTAACGATACGTGATCTTTAATAAGCAGGAAAAATTGCGTCTAAAATCCTCCATTGCGTTTCACAACGTTACGCGGCAAAGTTGTTTAAATACAATGCATCTGTGTATGAACAAACGGAGCGCTTTAGTGGACTTAGCTGCGCGCGCTTCTTTATCAATCAGCATATGTAAGCGTCTCTACTTGGACAAAAGACGCCATGCGCTTGTAGTGTACAATGATAGCTAACGCTGCTCGTATTGTTAGAGAAAAGTCGATTTTAGAAGTGTGTGCATAAAAGTTGTGGTTTCTATTATTGACTTGCTTGATGGAATGAGTGTTTCAAATACGTATCGACAAAGTGTGGATACGTAAGTCATTAAAACAGTTGCGAGACCATTTGACGTTAACTACGCTAACCGAGCATTAAAACACCCATTTTCGATCCTTAAAACGTTATTTGGTGAATTTGTTTTCTGAGCACTAAAAATCGTCAAGCGCGCAGATAGGTAAATCAACTGCGCATATAATTGTCGGGCTGCATTGCTTGTCTATGCCCACGAAACGGAACCAAAATTGGAACAAATCAATTTGATCGCTCTTGAGTGCACTGATTATATGGTTGCCAAAGCATCATGTCGACGGCGAAATATCTATGCAAAGTCAATGAATCTTTTGTTTCGAATATTAGAGATGAGACAAGCTCTGACTTGATACTTCAGTTTAGATGTAAGAGTAACAATCATGTTTTGTTGTTCGTTTGGCGACCGGAAACGTTTCTTGTATTTTGTCGTTAGCTCGATATAGTAGGCAATAATAAGGTAACTCTCTGTGAGGCTTACCTTTTTATATTATTCGTTTTGCTATGGAATGCCACTTTCGAATCGTTTTAGCAGTAAGGTGCTTATGAGTTCTTACCCGAATATATCGTTCTCTATTAGTTAGATTATGCGCTTGGTATTTTGCTCTTTCACTCGACGTTATAGCTCTGTTAGCCGAAACAAAGGAGCTGTGCGTTACCGTCAATCAAATATTGTTTTGGATAATCATAAGATTTAACTACTAGTTACCGATGTAATGAATAAACGTAGGCAGTATGAATAGAAAAGCTCAATTTAACGTCGATATCTTCTTATAGGACACAGAGCGTTTGCGCGCCTCCGAAAAGCGCCTTGAGGAGAATCCTTATGATATCGAGGCTTGGTCTGTGCTGGTTCGAGATGCCCAGGCACGTAAAATCGAGGATGCACGTGAGGTGTACGAACGGCTCGTGTCGACATTTCCTAATACGGGACGCTATTGGAAAGTCTACATTGAACACGAGCTTAAGGCTCGGTGTTTTGACCGGGTCGAGAAGCTCTTCACACGAAGCTTAATCAAGGTTAGCGATAAAATAGTCAGATTTAGATAGAATAGTCAGACTTCTCAAAGTGACGCATTTATTGAGGATCGTTTGAGTGGTACAGCGAATATATAAATAGTACAGACCTAACCCACTATTACTTGTAGTAAGTCTGCAGAATATTTAATTCGCAATGTGGTTAAGATGGGTAGATAGCTTAGAAGGCAGAAACACCATCTTGATTTTCGTTTGAGTTTTTCGTTTGTGTTCTTTTCTGAATCCTTTGTCAAATTATTTTTAACTTGTTCAATGTTAACTGTGCAAGATATGTATACCAAGTTGAAATATTTTAAAGTAATTTATTTAGGCAGTATGAGCATTTATATTGTTATCCCCAAATAGTAACTTTTTTGGTAATATGCTGTATTGGACCTAATTAGCCAACGTAAGCAATACGTTACCTCTGCTTCATTTGTAAAGATCACTGTTTATCACATCAATAACGTAGTAATTATACCAAACTGCTTATCTTAGCTGCCACCTCATCGAAATTTGTTATTTATGCGTTAACCAAATACTATATTTGTTTAATGAATGATTATATGCATTAGGTCTTAAATATGGACCTGTGGAAGTGTTACCTTGCCTACGTAAAAGAAACCAAAGCTTCGCTTCCCTCGTATCGTGAGAAAATGGCACAGGCGTATGACTTCACGTTAGACAAGATGGGTATGGACGTTTCATCTTCTTCCGTTTGGCACGATTACGTGAACTTCTTAAAAAGCGTGGATGCCGTCGGCAGCTACGCAGAAAATCAGCGGATTACTGCTGTCAGGAAGGTGTATCAGAAAGGGGTGAGTTTTAGAATCATATATCAAAACATTAAGTTGAAATAGTTACAATTTGTAATTGAATATAATGATTTATTCATCATGCATGGCATAGGTTTTCTTGCTAGTGAGTAGAGAATCTGGACTTCCGCAGCAGAATAAATAGCAATCGTTTTTCTGCGAGCGAATTTCTATTAGAGATGGACTCTCCAGCGCTTTATAATTGCGTTAGTTTCAGTTATGAGTTTCTTCTTGAATTCTTCAGGTTCACAATCCTATGACGAACATCGAGCAGCTATGGAAAGATTATGTCACGTACGAACAAAACATCAATCCGCTGATAGCCGAAAAGATGATTTCAGACCGCAGCAGAGATTACATGAATGCTCGCCGGGTTTCTAAAGAATACGAGGTTCATTCGAGAGGAATTAATAAAAACATGCCTTCAGTTCCACCACAGGTAAATTAATATTTCAATTTTTTTCACCAATGTCTAAAAGTATGTAGTTTGTTTTTATTGATTATCTGTAGGATATAACAAGTGTCGGGTATCGCTTCAATAAAACTTTGAGAGTTGCATCCTTCTGACATAAAGAGGTGATATTTGGTGAGCTACTGACCCCAACCAGATTCACTACTTTGCGCGCTAATGCTTCTTGTTTTGTTTTTCCTGATATCTACAGGGTACTCCGGAAGAGATGCGCCAGCTTGAATTGTGGAAGAAGTTGATCGCGTGGGAGAAATCTAACCCATTACGGTCCGAAGATCTGGCTCTTGTCACACGACGAGTGATGTTCGCTTATGAACAGTGCTTACTCTGCTTGGGACATCATGCCGACATCTGGTTGCAAGCTGCTCAATTTCTCGATGAACGGTACGTATCAGTTTCATTTTGGATATGGGTCTGTGAGTAAGTGTCTCAATAAGTGCTGGGTCCACATAAAAGAAGCCATGGAATAGATTAAGGTAGCGAATGTTGTATTCGTTTTTCTCTAACCAACCTGTGATAACAGTTCTCGAGCTGCTGCAGATCGGGGTGATCCCACGTTGGGACGACAATACGCTGAAGAGGCAGCCACAATGTATGAACGTGCAATCAGCGGTCTATTGTGTCGTTGCCAGTTGCTGTACTTTGCATACGCGGATTTCGAGGAAGGTCGTAACAACCACAAGAAAGTCCACGATATCTACAATCGTCTAATTGACATTCGCGACTCGGATCCGACATTGGCATATGTACAATATCTAAAGTTTGCTCGGCGAGCTGAGGGCATCAAGAGCGCTAGACAAGTGTTTAAGAAAGCTCGAGAAGATGAACGGTCCAACCATCATGTTTACGTGGCTGCAGCACTTATGGAGTATAATTGCAGTAAGGTGTGTATGTTCTACGTTGACTTTAATTTGCATTACTTGGTGTAACTTGGTATGGAAAAATATAACTTATCTATTCAAAATACTTGAGAAATAGGTTAGATCAATGTCCATAGGTTAAGACCTGGTTCCCTATTTTATATAAACACTTAAAGCCTAGAAATGAGTATCGATTAGACATTATATAGAAAAGTTTATGTACTAAACCACAAACGTGATCTATTTTAGGACAAAACGATTGCGTTCAAGATATTTGAGCTTGGGCTAAAAAAATACGGTGGGAATTCTGACTATGTTCTTGCTTACATCGATTATTTATCCCATCAGAATGGTAAGGAACTGCTTGTTTCGAGTTAAAACTTTTGCAGTGTAATATATTGTAACATCCGGGTTATTTCATCGCAGACATTGAGGATTTTCTATTTGGTTAACTTATAGGTGGTTGACTTAACCTGACAAGTGATATTATTTTTCCAACCTTTTCGCAGATGATTCAAACACCCGAGTCCTGTTTGAGCGTGTACTCACCTCAGGCCAACTCTCTGCGGAAAAGTCTCTGGATATCTGGAATAAATTCCTGGAGTTTGAATCCCACATTGGTGACCTAACCTCAATTCTCAAGGTAGAGAAGCGTCGTGCTGCTGCTATCGAGAAACTCAAAGAATTCGAAGGAAAAGAAACCGCTTTACTTGTTGACAGGTACTCATATCTAAATGCATTAAAGTAATACCCCCATAAGCATTTTTGTTAAAAGAGGGGCAATCAGGAAAGTGTTCCCTTGAAAAGGGGAAATGCTTTCAACGGGTATCTTATGTACCTAGTCATTGTTCTCATTTTTTTTGGCTTCTCCAGGTATCGTTTTCTAGAACTGGTGCCTTGCTCACCGGCTGAGCTAATCACAATGGGCTATCGAGAGCTATTGTTGAAAAATAGGGGCGCATTAGCCGGAGGTTTAGTGGCAGGGGCAATTCTCGATGCTGGAGAAGCTCATAAGGAGAAGGTGTTCCGCCCTGATGTTCTCCAGATGATACCTTTTAAACCTAAACAGGTAAGCGGAACGGTGGGAAAAATGCAGCATTCATGGTTTAAAGCAAAATATAAGGCGTAACTGGTTACCTTGTATTGATATACACTATGCTGCTTTCAACTAACTCAGATTCCGCATCTCAGATGGTATTGTGGGGACAGTTGCATATCTTTCCGTCTATATGATTTGACTGTGAATTAGAAATACTATTAGTGTTATGCTTTCCTTGCTACATATGTCATTACAAATTTGTTTTAGTTGTGCTAAATTTAAAACAAAGTATTATTTGATAATATAAACATGGTTTCCTGTTGCTGTGTTCAGATGTGTCCCAACGGCTCTCATCCTGTCCCAGGAGGTGTGTTCCCAGCGCCACCGGCAGCCGCCGAATTAATGGTCCGCCTTCCTCCTCCAACGTCATTCAATGGGCCGTTCGTAGCAGTTGACAAACTCATTGACATATTTATGAACATGAATCTGCCTGAGAAAATGCCCGAACCTGACGCGGCACAGAATGGTGCGTTTGTTGTATTTTTTTTAAATTTTTTTTTCATATTATTAAAAATTCGTGAACGGGCGGAAACG